ATTTTCGGGTATTACCCGCACTGCCACTGGACGGTGGACTTCGAAGAATACCAGCATCTTCTTCTTGCGTCCACCCATACCGCGCTGGTGTCCAGTCCGAGCCAGACTGTTCTTCACCTTCCTACCTACCTATATACCTACCGCATGTGTGTGCCAGTCCGCGCCTGTGTCGACCCTGACTGAGCTCTGAGGGGTGAGGGCCCAAAAGTTCAGAATCGTGCTTTTTGGGTTGGGTTGGGTTGTTAGGTCGGGTTGGGTCGGGTTGGGTTGTTCGCCGCGGGGGAGAGCAGACCGCAGTTCATTAGCGCACTCCTCTCGAGTTCGCGCACATGTGCACAAGATCCGCGTGGCGGGGGAAACCGGGGCGGCGGGGGTAGAGCTGTCTCACAAACGTTAACTTTGGGCCTAACAGTTGCACTATTGTTGGCTGAAATCCTCAACGTTGTTCAAGTGTTCTCCCCAGCCGAAGCTGTTACTGTTTGTTACTGGCCCTCCGCGCCCGCCGACGGCCGCGACCCCAAGGTTGTCGCCAACTACCTCGGCAAGACGCCGCAAGCGCGGGCCCCGCCTGCCAGTGTCACCGCCGACGAACCGGGCGTCGCGCGGTATGTCCTGAAGAGAAAGTCGTTCAACAAGTTCGCAAAGTCTTTGCCTCGCGCCCGCAAGGGCGGCCCGACCCAAGTCGACTACGAGCTCGTCCGCATCATCACCGAGTCGACCGACGGGGCGGACTGCCTCTTCAGCTTCTGCACCTCCTTTAGCTGGGGTGTCATGCACGAGCGTCTCAAGCGGCTTGAGGACGACCTCAACGCCGTCTGCCTCTGGAAGGACGATGGCGTCAGCTGCAGGCCCCTCGGGCTCTGCAGCATCTTCACGCGCTCAGCCGAACGGTGCATCGCGCTCCAGGAGCGCGACTGGGCGGAGCAGTTCTGCACCACGCAGCTTCCTGAGGTTGCCAAGGTCAGGGCGGAGGCACTCGAGGACGCGCCACCGTCACCACCGCCACCGCAGAAGCCGCGTACACTTCGAGGTGCATCACGCACGGACACGGCTCGGCCGAGGCGACGGCCGCTCTCGCCGACCTCGAGGCGGCCGAGGCTGCGGAGGACCGCGCCCGTGCGCCAGTCAACTTCCCAAAGAACTACGCGTTCTCCAAGAACGGCACTCACCTGTACGCCCACACACCGTCGCGGGGTGGCACGGCACGAAGCCGGAGAACGCGACCATCTCGGGCGACAAGGAGAACTTTTACAACACGATCGCGCAGGCGCTCACGGCCGACAACAAGCCTGACCCCAACGGCTGTGGGCGCGTCAAGCTCCTCGACTGGATCCGCAAGCGACGCCCTGACCTCCTACCCGTCGCTCGCCTCATCATGGGCACGCCCAGCTTCATCCGCCTTGTCAAGGCCGAGGGCGCCTTGCGGCTGCCTTCCGCCGACGGCGACGACCTGGACTTCTCCGCCGCCGATTGGGACCCACTCAGCATCGAGTGCCCCGACTACAACGACCCCAACTACGCCAAGACCCAAGTCCGCCTGCGGGGTCATCCAGGGACGTGCGCTGTCCACCATCCTCAGCGTCTGCTTCCTCCACGACATCTGCCACGAAGTTCTTAGGCGAGACTTTAGGCGGCCAGGGCGCAGGTAGCACCTTTCAGCTAGACTGACCTCTTCACTCTCTAGTCCCGTGTCGCGGTGATGGTGGTGGTGACGGCGGAGGGTAGACTGGCTGATATCTCACTTCCGGCCTCCTCCGCCAGGCCGGCGGCGGCGGTGGCGGTGGCGGCGGCGGTGCTTCCTCGGAGGTGACGCTCTACTCCTTCCCTTGGCTAGCCCTGCCCCCCACCTTCATGCTACATACTCCCCTGAGCCTCCTAGCTCCACCACCCTCCATCTCCCATCTCCCACTACCCTCTCTCTCCGTGGCTCAGGGGAGGGTGTAGCATGAAGGTGGGAGGCCGCATGGCTAGAGCTCTAGCCAAGCGGGGAACCTGGGAGGGAGTAGCTCCGCCGCCGGTCGCACATTGTGGCAGCAGTCAGCGCGCATGTCTGATAGCTAGAGCAGCAGCATCAGGGTCGCCGGGTCGGATCGTGTCAAGCCTCTCACCCGGCCGGCCGCGTGCAGACGTTGGCCTGTCTGCTGTCTGGAGTGAGCATCGGTGTCGGCGGTCGGTACGACCGATCAGGTCGGAGTTTCTGATGGTTGGAGGGTCTATCTGTATGTACTCCTCGAGATCTCTCCAAATCTGCCCTCTAACCAACCGTAACCATTCGGGAAGTCGGTGCTCTGAGCGACTCTGAGCGCCGGAGCCCCGTTTCCGCACTGCGGCGCGGCCTAGGGCGCGGCGCAGGGTGCCTCCGGGGAAAACCCCGCCTCCCCCCAGAGCATCGAGAGAGAAAAGCGAAACAAGCGACACACCATCATGTGCAATGTACGATCGCGAGAGACGCGCAAAGATGAGACTACCTTGGAGATGGCCGCACCGCGTGATGGAGCGTGCTGACCCGGGCGAATGCGGTCTCGACTGCCATCTTCGCAAGAGACCCGAGGCTCTCGGGCACCTCGGCGGGCGGGAGGGGTTCGTGGCCCGCCAGGGTGAGCAGCGGGTCGCGCCGCAGGTCAGCGAGAGAGTGCCGCGCGCTCGGCGAGCGCGCGAGGAGGCCGCGCATCAGCGACATGACAAGCTCGCCCGCACCGTGGGAGTCGCCGTCGTACGACACCTCCTCGGCCCGAATCAACTCCATCAGCAGCGGGGCCGTCGGCGCAATGTAGGGCGGCGCGTGGAAGACCCACAGGTACATGCTCACCCCCAACGCCCACAGGTCCGCAGCGCGGCCCGAGTAGCCGCCTTGGCTGATCGCTCCCGTGCGGCACATCTCGGGCGCAAAGAACGCCGGCGTGCCCCCCGACGCGGTGATGAAATCTCCGCCCAGCCTCTTGCCCACGCTGACCAGCAGCGATGCTCCAAAATCAGCGAGCTTGACCAGCCCGCTGCGCGAGTCGCGAAGCATGTTCTCCGGCTTGAGGTCGCGGTGGCAGACGCCGTGCAGGTGGAGGTGCTCCAAGCCGAGGACGATGTCGCGCATCCACGCCCTCAGCTCAGAATCGGGCACGGCTTGCCGCCGCCGAACCGGCTCCCCCAAATCAGTGCCCTCGACGAGCTCCATCACCAAGTACACCTCGTCGTGGCCCGGCTCGTCGATGATTTCGAACAGCTTCGTCACGTTCCTGTGGCCCAGCAGCCTCATGATGGATGCCTCCCTCTGTGCCTGCGCTGACGTGCCAGCTTCGCTCCCGTGGCGGCCTCCAAAGGCCCCGCTGACCCGCCCCTTTTGCACTTTGATGGCAAACTCTTGCCTATCTCTGCGACACCTGTACACGGAGCCGTAGGCGCCCTTCCCAAGGATCCTGCCAAGACGGTAGTCGTTGACCCACGTAAGCTCGTCCGACTTTGGGCACCTCCTGCACGTCGCCACGCTCGTCACTATCGCCCCGCTCTCCACCCGCTGGCGGCGAGCGGACTTGCGGGACTGCTGGCCTCGAAAGGCGGACTGCACCGTAATGGCCGCTCCACACTGCACGGAGTGCGTTGACTGCGCGGAGCACCGAACGCCGCAATTCGCGGATGCCGCCGCCGGTGCCGGTGCGACAGCCAGCCGAGAAGATCTACAACCCATGAGGAAACTCGATGCAGGCAGAAGCGGCAGCCTCAGCCGCTGCTTAGGCCGCAGCGGAGCGAGGGAGCGCGCTTGCAAGCAGAGGCAGAGGCTGCGCGGCTGCTCGCTGTGGCCAAGCGCGACCGTTATGGGAAGCAAACACAACTACCGGGGGCTGGCACGTGAAGAGTGCTCCCATCCCCCCCTTGGGCTGTCTGTTTTCTTTCTTTCAAGAGTGCGTCCTCGCTTAACTGTTCTGTCTGTCCAGCACAGGGCGGGCGGGCGCGCATCACTCATCACTCATCTGTCCGTCCGCGATCGACTAGCGAGATACGAGGAACATGCACATGACAACAACATGCATGCACATGCACATGCACATGCACATGCACATGCACATGCACAAGCACATGCACATGTGCATGCACATGTATACATGTATGGCATGTGCATGTCA